CGCACCCAGGGTCGGGGCCGCGCATATGCCACACTCCCATGAGCCACGTGCCTGAGGCCAGCAACCCTATGTGCCGCAGGGCCGCCCATTTGCAGCAAGCCCAGGGCCAGTGTCCTCCAGAGCCATGTGCCCAGGGCCGGCACCCGCCCCATAGCCGTGCGCCCAAAGCCAGCACCCCTCCTCCCCATAGCTGCGTGCCCGGGGGCAAGGCTGCCACTTCGCCGTGCTCCCGGGGCCGGTGCTCCCCATAGCCGCGCGCCCGGGGCGGCCAATTCGCCGTGCACCCGGGGCCAGCGCTCCCCCCCCTGCGCCGCGTGCCCAGAGCACAGACGGTCAATCCACAGCCCTCCATCCGGGGCAGGGCCAGCCCTGAGCACTTGGCGGGCACACACAAATGACCCCACGGGCGCCATGGCACCCGCAGGCACCGTGTTGGGAACCATTGATGCAGAAGATAGTAGTCATGTTGTCAGTGAGGATACACACCGAAGAGCCCTGGATGTGTGGAAGGAAGTGCTTGCACGTGTTGTGAACTGCTTGAACCTCAAGCAGAATTATGTGGAGTTTGGACTTGTCTTTGGATCACTTCCCCTTGCACAACCTGTTGTTGCAAGTGTGCACCCCAGCCCATCAGTGAGGTGTCCATAGTAATCTGTTTGGATTGCTGCTCATGGTGGAAAGGCTCCCCTTTGCATAGGTTCTGCACCTGAGTCCACCATCGGAGGGAGGTAAGGACCCCTGGAGGAGGCGAGATGTGGCTGTGGATGTGGTGACTGGCTGGTATGTACACTGAAAAAAATCCAGTGCTGGTAAACCTGATCATGCCTCTCATGGCGTGCTGATAAGGCAGTCGTCCAGATAGGAGAATATTGTAATGCCATTGCAACTGAGATGTGCAGCAGCCACCGCAAGGGTCTTCTTGAAAAAGACTGTGGGGTCAGAGGAGAGTCCAAATGGTGAGAGTCTTGAAAAAGACTCTGGGGGCAGAGGAGAGTCCGAATGGGAGGACTCTGTACTGGAAGTGACGTGAAGCTACCACAAATCATAGGAAACGCCTGTGTGCGGGATGTATTGTGATGTGAAAATATGCATCTTGAAGGTCGAGGGCTGCGAACCAATCCTCTCTGTCCAGTGCCGGAATTATAGTGGTGAGTGATATCATTTTAAATCGCTGCTTGCGGAGTTACTTGTTTAATTGCCACAGGTCCAAGATGGGCCTCCAACCCCCTGACCTCTTCTCAGTCAGAAAGTAGTTCGAATAAAAACCTTTCCCTTCAAAACTTTTTGGGACTTGTTCTATAGCTCCTAAATTAAGGAGATGTTGCACCTCTTTGCGGAGCAGTGTATCGTAAGAGGGATCCCTGAAGAGGGAAGGAGAAGGTTGGGAGGCTGGGGGGATTGCTGTGAAGGGGATAGAATATCCATGGCTGATGATTTCTAGTACCCACCGATCTGCGGTGGAAAGGCTATGCACTGATTGTAATAAAAGTGCAAGTGGTAGTGAAATATGTTGAACTCACCAGGTACTGGAATGGAAGGGAGGTCGGGCAGACCTTCGACCAAATTCTCAAACTTGCTCCCTAGAGACATAAGTCATGGAAGAGCAGTTGTTAGGGGCTCTTCTATGGTGTTTTCGAGGTCGGAAGCAATTCTGTTCAAGAGGCCAGTACTGCTGTTTTCTAGTAAAGGCCATGTTCCTGTGTCTCTGATAAGGTGTGCAGTGCTTCCTCTGGTAGAGTGCAGTGTACATCCCCAATGTGCGCAAAGTAATGTGCGAATCTTTGCCAGAGTGCAAGGCCTCATCAGTACCTGTAGTAAATAATTTGGTCTTATCAAATGGCAGGTCCTCTACTTTGTCCTGGAGGTTCTTAGGGACTCCTGCTGCTTGCAGCCACGGTGCATGTCTCATTACCACAGACGTCTCCATAGATCTAGTCACAGTATCTATGGCATTTAGGGCCACTGGTAGAACTTTCCGGGATATAGTATATCCCTCTTTAATGATTCCTGGAGGTTCTTAGGGACTCCTGCTGCTTGCAGCCACGGTGCATGTCTCATTACCACAGACGTCTCCATAGATCTAGTCACAGTATCTATGGCATTTAGGGCCACTGGTAGAACTTTCCGGGATATAGTATATCCCTCTTTAATGATTGCCTTAAGGATAGGTCTTTTGTCCTCTGCAATATTGTGCATAAACTCTGTTAGTTTCATGTAATTGTCGAAATCATGATTTCCAAACAACACCATATAGTGTGGCTATGCGAAGCTACAGAGTTGAGGAGGAGTACATCTTACTCCCAAAGACATCGAGGCGTTTGTGGTCTTTGTCCTGTGTCTGAGCCTTGTGCTGTAGGTTTTTGGTCCTTTGCTTCGCAGCATCAGCCACCAAGGAGTTAGGTTGAGGGTGTAAGTATAGGAATTCCATGCACTTTGATGGGACAAAATACTTTCTATCGGCCCTTTTGTTTGTTGGGGGAGGAGGGAAAGGGGCTGGGGTTTTCCATACTTCATTGGCTGCCTCAAGAATAGCTTTGTCTAGAGGCAGGGCAATTTTGGATCTTGCAGAGGGCTGCAGATTCTATAGGAGCTTGTGGTGTTTTTCCTGCACCTCTGATAAGACTACTTCCTGACTGATAGCTACTCCCAAATAGCTCGTGGAACTGTTTAAGGTTATCACTGGGGTCTAGATCATTTGGGATAACTACTTCATCAGGAGTGGAGAAGGAGTTATCATTAGATGCTATTGTCTGATTGCTGGACCATTGGTTCATCCTCAATTTACCCTTCCTCTAGGTCAGTGCCATCTGATGGGGAATGCAATAGGTCTGAATGTATAGAAGTCACAGACCTCTGTGCAGGTGTAGGAGGGGCAGTGGAGGTATGATGTGGTGCCCTGTAGTGATAGGGGGACCATCAGCTATGATGTCTGTCATAATAGTGCCATTCCGGATACCAAGAAGGCTATTGATAATGAGGTAAGCCGTATGCCCCATAAAGTGCATATGCTGTCTCTGGAGAGGAGTGTTGAAAGGAGACCCTATTACTTGAATCCCCTTGGTAAGCACTGATTTGAGACATGGTGGGTGAACATGGTGAGCCCCTTATCGTTAATGGAAAGCGAGACCAGTTCCGTGTCAAAGACCAAGTAGGGGTCCCAGTTCTAGGCTTTCTGTCCTGTCTTGGTAGTGCCTATGTTTTGCGCATTGGGGGAATGGCTGTGGGATGATGTCCTGTGAGCCGTTGCTGAGTCCCCCGGTACATGAGGAGGTGGCACGGAAATGGTTGCGACCCTGGGAGATGTGGGGTTAGCATGAGATACTGGAGGACAGCTGGGACTAGTCCTGTCACCTTCCGGTGCCTGTGGTGAAGACTGCATAGGGGGTTCATGTTGTGCCGGGGATACTGAGTGTGCTCGAGGCACCCGGGGTGTCTGATGCCATTGGTGCCTTTGTTCCATCAGGGCCCTTAGTAGGTGCCCTTTTTGATGCCTGGTTTGACCACCTGTTTACAGTGTGCTCTTGAGCAGGTCATAGAGGAGGTTTCACATTTCCCCATACCCAAGGTGCCCGGGTCATCCCCTTTACTGATTCTTGGTGGGGAGAGAGTGGGCTGGTGAGTGTCTGATTCTGACCGTGCCTTCTGAGGTAAAGGGCTGGAGAGATTGCCCTGAGGGGATTTTGCACTCAAGCCCTTATTGCCCCCCTTATAGCTATGAGGGGCAAGGGCTTTGTCAATAGACAGCATGCAGGCTGTGAGTTCTCTTTCCTTGCAAGCCCTCACTGTCAGGCTGCAGTAGGGGACACATTTTTGTCGTCCATGTGTGTCCCCCAAACAGCATATTCATTTGCTGTGGGCATCACAGGCTGGCATAGGCTCCTGGCAACTTCCACATTTCTTGTCCTTAGGCAGGAATTGTGTAAACTTGTATAAACCAAGTTGCCTGCTTGCTGTATTAGTTGGTTTATTTGTTAGGGTTTTGTTTGTTTGTTTGTTTCAGTTTGACTGGGCTGCCATGGCTTGTCCTTGTATCTTGTCCTTGTACTGCAGTAAAGAGCTGCTAGCAGCTTTTTTGTTTGTTTTTGTTTGAATAAATAGAGGAATCTATATAAAGTACTCAATTATTTCTCTCTGACTCTCTAAAGTACTCAATTGGTTGTCAATTGCTGCTCTTTGATATGCAAAGCATGCTGAGGAGGACAGGGTTGAGCTCCCTCTGTAGCAGCAAAGAAAGAACTGAGGGAAAAGCAGGCTGCCTGTGCTCAAAGGCATGCCATGATCCACTCAAATAGGCCACAGCTTATCTGATGACTGTTTGAAAGTCTCCGATCTGTGGCATGGGGATGAACTGACACCAACAGTGGAGCACCCAGGGGGACATCACTGGAAGAAGAAATAGATTCTTCCCATGGTTCTGGAAGCAGTGCCAGCAGCCAGCAAGTCCCTCAGCCCACACTGCTTCCCATGGCTTGGGTTGCAAACTTAGCACTAGCTAAGTTTGCAACTCAGTTTCTGTATTTTGCCTTCAACTTTAAAAATCAAAAGAGGGGAATGATGCTCCCTTCACTGATAACTTACATTTGAAACAAAGAAGAAATTTTTCTACCAAATCTGAATTGAAGTAGACAAGGGGGTTGTGAATTATGACACTATAAACAGAGATGTTCCGCAGCTGACCCCTCCCAAACTTAGAGAAAAAAATGGTAAAAGGAACCTCTCAGCTCCCACTGGCTGCTGTTTGCTGTTCCCAGCCAATGGGAGCTGAGAGGCTCTGTGCCTGCAGCCAGCATGTCTTTCAGCCTGCGCAGCTTTCCAGCTTATAAACAAACAGGCTTATGTTCGAGTATATACGGTAAATGGGTTTAATATTCACAAGATCACACAGCAAGTGAACTCAAAGCATTGGAGTCAATTTTACTTTATCCATTAGAACTTTCTTCCTCCCTTAGACAACATTTAGTTTTTAGTTTTAAAATGATAAAAAATATACTTATACTTACAGGACTGTGTCTCTGGTATCAGCATGCAGGAGAAAAAGGGAAATCATGATTAATATCGCTACATAATAAGACCTCAGGACTGACATACAGCCTGTGTGTTGCTCTGAAGCCTAGAATGTCTGTTGAGTCAGCATGAAGTGATGAACACAGCTAGATACATGGCTGACTTCTCTTTTTGGTTAGAATATCACCAGGTTCAATTATCAGTGGTCTTAAGTTCTTAGCCATTTTTAGCTTTTATGAATTACATCAGTATGCAAGCCCAGACTTTAATCTAGTTTTACAAAATAAGATTGCATTTCAAACATTTTCTTTAATGTACATGTAATTTTATTCTAACCTTCATTTTGCACTGACATGAGTTATAAAGTTTGATTGTAGTTTTAACCCCAAATACAAAAGGATCATTTTATCAACTTAAAGAAAGACACCCAGCAAGCTGCAATGTAAAGTCATGCATTCCCATGATCTATCTTAGGGTTTTCTATAGTACTCATCTCTATCTTGAAGCACTTACAATATAATATAAATATAATCCTTCTGTTAAAAAGGATCACTAGTGCATAACAATTTAAGACCTACACATGGCTCTCAGAATAGAGGTATAATATTTGTGGGGGACCTTGAAGAAAAGATAATAGTCATTATTTTCCTTTCATTTATTTAGGTGGCTTCCTGGAGTACATCCCACATCTGGAACAAACATAATCAAGTCCAAAAACAAAGTGGTGATGAAGATATATGGGAAAGATACATGCTGCACTCTACAGATGGAATTAAAATGTATGCTTGGTGCCTCAGAGTTAGACCAGGGGTGGGGAACTTCAGGCCCCGGGGCTGGATGTGGCCCTCAACTTGCCTGGATCTCACCCTTATGGCTCTGGCCCCTCCCCAGCATTGGGGAGCCTGCACTGGCTTACCACTCCAGGTCCGCTCCTCCCCCCGCCATACCATGGGGCTGGCAGAAGTACACAAAATCTTCTAGGCTGGGAGGGAATGCTGGGAGTATTTTTCTGCTTCTCAATATACTTCTCACTTGTGTACAGCCCCTAACTGATTTTTCTGTGGGTCAGTGGTTCCGCACCCCTGAGTTAGACCTATCTTTCTCAGTGAAATCTGACCTTCCACACAAAAAATTAAGTTAACAATTTATGTGAAACAAAATGTAAGGAACCATCTGTTAAATGTAATATATGGAACAAATTACTCACAGATATTGGTGGAGAAAGAGTGATGCTCCCTATAGTGTAGTGAGAGCTATTATTTGGCTGCACAGGTTTGATTTCTACATGGAATCTCCTTGGTTCATCATCTTCAGAGTCAGAATCACTGGAGGAGTAGAAATGGTTCTCTTTGGTATGTTTTTCTCTGTTAAGGTAACTGATGTGTTAGTATCAATTCTACAGAGAATAAATCAGTTTCTCACACACTCCTCAACATATATATCTGCAGCAAGTATACATTATTCATTCATGAAACTAACAGTCAAAATGTCTGACAATAGATACTTAAAATCATCATCCACAGATTACCAAAACACAGACTTTAAAGTTAAACTTTGATGCTTTCACCCTAAGCATCTAATATAACAAATGCAGAAGGTACATAAACACAACTATTTACAAACTTAAAAGGTACAAATGAACAGAATGGAAAAACTTAGGCTTTACAGCAGCATTAATTAGTCTGAAGTGCAGGCTAGAGCACAAAACATAGAGTTAAGACTTCTGAGTTCTATTCCCAGCTCTGCTATCAACTCACTCTGTGACTACAGGCCAAGTTACCAAACTTGACTAATTTCTGCTTCTCTGTAAAGAAGTTATTTACGTGTACAGTAACTGGAATTCCTAAAGACATATCTATTCCATTTGGTGTGAATGTACATTGTGCTTGAGATAGGAGTCTTTTACCTAGATGCATCCACAAAGTCAGTATATGTGCTCTGAGAATGCTCATGCTCTTATACAGAATGCATAAAGGGTGATACAGAACCAACTGCCCCTCAGTTCTTCCTCCACTGCAGAATTCAACTATAGAAGAATGGACTGAAGGATATATGGACAACACAAAGGACTCCACTTATTGTATAGGTATCATGACGTCTGTCGCTTCTCCCAGCTTGAAAACATACAATGCCATGCCCGTTCTTAGTCAGAGTATTATTGTTAATAAAAGCAGCTGAGACTGATTGCAACCTAATGGAATGGGCTATAATACTGTGACGGGGATCTAATTTGTGTAGGTCATATCTGAGCCTAATTCACTCTGAAACTCATTTAGAGACTCTTTGGGTGAAGACAGGATGACCTCTCGGCAAAGAACAAGAACAGCCAAGCACCGGGCATAAAAGGTTTCACTCACTGAAGTTCAAATGCTAGGATCCTGTGCTCATGAATGCTTTGTGACCTTAGTTTCACCATAATTAGGATGTCCCTTTTCCCCCAGAAAAGAAGGTATATGTATGACTTGCTTCGTGGCAGCCTCCCCCGCCTCCCTCTGATAAGGGGAATGAGTGTAGTCAACTGATAAACCGAGCCTAGGCCTTTTACACACTGACATCCCTACTCTGGGGCAGAACTGAGTGTATTTGGAATTGTGTGGTTGCAAAGAGGTCTACTATAGGAAGAAACCCCATCTGAAAATGTGAGTACTAAAATCCCATTTGTGGTCTTGATAGAACTTCCTGCTCAGGGTATCTGCCATGATATTCTGGCACCAAGATAGGCATGATTATACAACACGGACGTTGTGTTTGATGCACTATTTCCAGAGACGCAAGACTTCTACGCATAGGGAATGTGATCATATTCACCCTTTTCTATTTATGTAAAACATATAAGCTAAATTGTCCATGAGAATCTGTATCATTTTGCTTTTGATTAGTGGTAGGAAATAAGAACAGGCGCTTCAAACTGCTCTTAGTTCAGTAGGCTGCTACGAAGATGGAACTTTGCTATAAAGCAAGGGGTGGGCGAAGGGCCTTCCACAGGCTGGATCTGGCCCACCAAGCTGGTGGATCCAGCCCACCACTTCCCTACCCTCCAATCAGGGCCTGGGGATAGGGGGGCGCACAAAGTCTCTTTACCCCCACAAGAGCATGTGGCGGCTAGAGAGGCACACCAGCTGTTTTAAGATACCTGGCATTTATTTCTAGCTGTTGCGAGCCTTTGGGAGGGGGGAGCTTTGTGTGCTGCCTGCCCCCAGGCCAATCAAGACCTTGGGATAGGGAGCGCACGAAGTTTCTCGCATCCTGTCCCAGCCCTGCCAGGAGCACACAGCAGCAAGACACATGCAGGCTGTTCTAAAACAGCTGGCCTGTCTCTCTAGGCTCCTCACAGTCTTACAGAGGTAAGGAGACTTTGCATGCTCCCCTACCCCCAGACCCTAATTGGCCTGGGGGCAGAAGGAACATGCAAGGTCTCCTTCCACAGGGTGCCTAGTGGGAACAGCCATCTGTTTAAAAACAGCTGGTGTTTCTCTCTAGGGGGCAACAGAGGGAGGGGGAAGACTTCTCACGCTCCCTCACCCTAAGCCAATCAGGGTGGGGGGAAAGCATAAGAAGTCTCCTGGCCCTGCCCCTTCTGGGTGGCCCCCTTTAAAAAAAAATTATTGTCCACCCCTGCTGTAGAGCATTGGCTCTGTATAGAATGTGTTTGCAGATGTGCTCTCCAGCCAAGGAGGGATATGTCCATGATGATGGTGAATGATGGTAGACTCTATAGGAACGCCTGCCCCCCCCTCCCCAACTGATGCTGTCTAGACTGTTCGACACAAAAGGGAAACCTTGACTGTATTGGGCATGGTGATGAGTTTGTTAATGCTCTGCCTGTGTTGGACATAATTTGTCTGGAGCCAAGCTTGTAGACACTGAATGTGTAGTGTTGCGTGGTAGATTACAAAGTTTGTGATGGCCATGCGGTCAAAGATTTGTAGGCAGGTTCTGGCAGACATCTGGCTGGGTGTTCCACTCTGTTGAGATCAGGGAGGGTAAAGTCAGAAAGCATTTTACTGATAGTAAGGCAATTGCTTTGAGGGAGGTGAGGTCCACTACAATAGACTCCAGGCATTGTACAGGTATTAAAGCAGACCTTCATATGTTAATTGGAAGTCCTAAGCTAGTGAACATGGATAGAGTCTATAGCTGTCTGTAGTGTTGGTGCTTTTCAGCAATCTAAGTAGGGGAATATCATGATTCCCTCTCTGCATAGGTGGGCAGCTGCTTGAAAATATTTCAAGGCACAGTAGAAAGATGGAAGGGTAAAACTTTGTACTGGAAATGGTATTGTAAACCGCAGGAATTTTGTACGTATGTATACTGGAGATCGAGAGCTTAGAATCAGTCCCCCGGCCTAGTGCTGGGATTATGGTGCTTCGTGTAACTATTTTGAATTTTTGCGTTTTCACAAACTTGTTCAGTTGGCATAGATCGAGACTAGATCTCTAGCCTCCTGATTTTCTGTGAGAGAAAGTAGTGGAAATAGAGCCCCTTCCTTGTATACTCACTTGGTATACTAATTCTACTGCTCTCAGAAATAGGAGATGGTTTACCTCTTCTTTCAGTAGATATTCAAGAGAGACACGGAAGAAGGGTGGGTAGAGGGTTTGGAAGTAAGAGGCATAGAGTAACCAATTTTGATGATTTCTAACACCAATCTATGGTAATGGACTGTCAAATTTGGATATTGCCAACTTCCATTCTTCTGAAAGTTTTCTCAGTTGTAGATGATGGGAGAGATGTGATTCTCAACAAAGGTTTCAAATCCGTTGTCTAGAAGCTGATGGCTGAGATGTAGTAGTCAAAGAATTGGATTGCTGTCTTCTCAATGTTTTCTGTTTCTGATCAGTTGGTCATAATGGAATCTTTGAGGAATTTGATAATTGCACTGCCATCTCTTGTTCTTGGGTGTGTGGATACCCAGAGATCACAACATGGCCCTTGAGTTTTTCAGAATGTGCAGTCCATTTTATCTGTGAAGAGTCTGGGTCCTTTGAACAGTAAGTCTTCTCCAGAGCAGTGTACTTACTGGCTTTGGAAAACTGGAGAGAGAAAATCAGGAGGCTCTCCCTCATAACAAATGCTCATTGTGGAATCAGCAGCCTGAGGGGCAGCTTGTAGCACTGTTCTGGTAATAAAATGTCCCTCTGCAATGTGTGCTTTGTATTACTCTTTTTTGCCTTCAGGAATAAAGTTTATAAATTTAAAAAGAGACTGTAATTATTGTGATAATTCTAGGTCATGTTTTGTTCAGGCATTTTTGAATTGCTGGTGATCGTAATCATTTCTTAAAACTGACAAGATGTTTTCTAAGCTTCCATGAGTCAAAAGTTGCAGAATAGATTTCCTTCAAAGTTTCTGGCAAAATTTACTTCTGGGCTGACACAAAAAGTGGCAAGTTTCAATACCAAACAGTTAATTTTTCAGGAAGTTACGAACATGTAAAATATAAGTAGTTATAACAATAGTTTGAACTTCATCTTAGAGTACTTAACATTTTAATTATTGCTTTGTATAAACATTAAAAAAGGATATTCTGGCTTGCTTCTGGCTTAATACTGAATCCTTCATCATCTACGTCAGGAATGTTCTAAACAGAAAAAAGACAATTTATGACATTGACAAACCCTTCTATTCCTCTGAAGTGTACAATCATAATGTATTTTTACTTGAAACTGTTGTACTTAGAATTTAGACTTCTTTGACACTGTTGCTAGATTAAAATTACAATATGACAGTTTGTGAAAGCTATAGTTACCTGTTATTATTTGGCAATTATTTCAAGTTCTTCTCAGTGGCTCAAATTCGCTGACAGTTCAGATTTCACAAATTAACCATGTGGTAATGGGTTTGGAATGTGGGTAACTTTAACAAAATGCACTATATACAGATTGATTTTATTTGCCTTCAGTAGCAAGTGTAAAACACTTAACATTCTCCAGGCCTCAGTTTTCAAATCTCTTTCCAGTTTCTACTTCTATTCTTTCAGTTACATTATTGCAGGCTTTGATTTTGCAAGATCTCACACTCTAATTAGCATAGAGACTGGTCAGCCAATAATTAAATAGAAGACCGAGAAAAATCCAGATGATGCAGGTTGTAATTTGTTTTTCCATTGGTGGCACTCATGTATCATTACTTTAACAAGAATTTCTCCTCAGTTTTAAAATATATAAGATTTAAAAAAAAATGGGAAGCTCACATCAGGCCCCTGCATCCTACTTAAGCATCTACATAAACTGTTGATTTTCAAAAATACCGAGCACCTAGCACTTCTCAATGATTTAAGATGAAATTACTGAGCTTTCAACACTTTTGAAAATAAAGGTACTTGTGTAGGTGCTTAAATGCTGACTGAAAAGATCACTTTAAACATCTATTTTTTAAAATTTTAGCCATAGTTTTAACATTCTAAAATTATACACAGAGAGCCTCCTAATGCAAAGAAGGGAAAAGATTTGTGTGTGAAGTGCTCAGACCAGTGGTGGACAACCTGCAGCCTAAGGGCCACATGTGGCCCACTGAGGTTCTATATGTGGCTCGAGACATTTTGTTTACTATTGCGCAGGCATTGGGTTGCCAGATTCTGCTAGATTTTATCTGTGTAGTTCCTCCCACCACCTGCCATTATTACAAAAATTACATGCACTTAAAGCAAAGGTGTGTGAAGGTGGCATGCTGATTCCACACAACATTGTGAGAGATGTGTTCCCTCTGCATCTAACGTGCTGCTACAGTTCAATTGGCATAACCCACAAATTCTAGGTAAGCAAGCACAATTACCAAAACTATCCTATCCCAGGAGACCATCTTGATTGCGACAATCTTGAGGCCCACTGAAATGAAGGAGGGACAAGCCTAGATTGCCCTCACTGGCTTAGTCACTATATTGATGGGCATTATAGAAAACTACAGGACAGGGAGATCTCCAAAATGTAGAAGTCGGAGTTTATAAAAATCTGATTTAAAAAAAAAACCAACAGTCTAGGATTAGGATGCTAAATTGTTTCTTTTAACAAGGTGACTGGTTCCAAACTTGGCTCAAATACGGACATTCACGTGGAAGAGAGCATAAAACAAGAAAGCAGTTTATATATGACTGATTAAAAGGACATTGGACGCTTGCTCCAAAAGTTTTGAATCAGACATTTTTTCCTCATCCTGAATATATTTTAAACTATTGATCCACGAGATATACAGGAAACATTGTGATGGCACAAAAAGAACTGAACTTAATATTCTGTTACAGACAACCATTAGGGAAAAGAGTTACTTTCTAAAGTAATTTTTCTATTTTCCCACCTCCTGCCCTTTCTATTTAAAAGGGCAGAGGTGGACAGAAGGATGGAAAATTAGTAGACCAGAATCTTCCCATAAAATGTATTTTAAGAAAATCTAGGAAAAAGAAAAACAGACTACAGAATTCTTTCAAAACCCATTTAAAGGCTGACAAAATATCTTGTCAGTGAAAAGAGCAAAGCAACAAGAAGTCAGGCCAGAAAAATCTCACATAAGGCCTCTAAGAATACTTGCTACTTTCTTGGTAAAAAGCATGAGAGAAGATAATGCAGAGCAGTTGCAAACTTGCTGCTGTAAAATAATCTTTATACAAATTTCTATCTGGTGACGTGTCAAAGGGAGGGTTGGGAAAGGAAGACAGTATTTCTTTGTATGGTTTAATATTGGTACAGTGTTTATATTTACCACTGTTTCAGTGGTTTTCAATATTATTCATAGGATTTCTTCAATTTAAACAGTCTGGGGGCTGTTAATATTTACTTTTTTACTTACCAATGTTTTCATTGTATTACTACTAGATCCGCCCCTCCCCGGTCATTCATGGCATTTCCTTGGTTTTCTTTTGAGCTGTCATTATCCAGTAGCTATCTCTGCCATGTTTACATCAGAGAATTGAATCACTCCTAACTGAACTAGTGAGATGATCTGTTTAACCATAGCAGCAATACTTGTTTGTTCTCTGCACAATTGCAAATTTGCCCCATTGTCCACATGATAGCTGTTGGAAACAACTGCAGTTGCAGCATTTTTTTTTATACCTTTCCCACAGTTCACAGCAATACCTAGAAGCATTCCTAGAAGCAATGAGTTTTGAGAAATTTCAAAAGGCAGATGTTGCCTTTGGGGTCAGCAGTAGTACAACTATCTAAACCATTTTCAAACTGGTCCCAGATCCTCTCTGGGACTCTCGCGCACAGGGGCTGCTGCTGGCAGGGCAGGCAGCCCAGTTCAGTTCCAGCTCAGACTGTGTGCAGGACAAAACCCCTGCTTGTGCCTCTGCAATTTAAAATGCAGTAGGAGCCAGGAGTCAGGCTGCCTGGCTCCTATTGCCTTTTAAACTGTAGAGCCGCAATGGGGTTTGGCACCACACCCTGTGCGAGACAGAACTGAGCTGGCTGCCTATCGACGAATCGAGTAGTCGATAAAATTCTACTGACTACTGGATTAGTAAAATACCCACATATTGACATCCCTAGTTCAGAAAGGGGCTTTGGGGACCCTATGGTACAAATGTGTCTAGTGTAGATGATGTCTTGGTCATCTTTCTGGGGTCTTTAAGAGAATTTTCTTTCATCTGTTCAACTTTTTATACAGAACCACGTACATTTAATTTGAGACTGCTGCAGCATCTCTGGTTAGATATCATAAAACAGTTTATTTTAAGTTGTCTGTCATCTGGATTTCTAACAAAAAGGAATAAAAACATCACTATGAAATATTCATGCAGGATGCATCATTTTATTTGTGATGTGACTATTTGGATTATAATGAGCTAGAGACTTACCAAAGAATACCCATACAGTCAGAATTGCCCAATTTACCAAATTTAAATAAGTAGTATCAAAACTTGACACACAGACTGTGCATGTATAAAACACCCTCCATACTGCACTTGAAAATATGAATCTTTCTAACGCTATGGACAGTTCTGTTTTCAGTAGTTAATTTAAGAAGGAAGTTCTTGTATTGTATTATTTATCTGAAAATGGAATACTAGACAAAATAGTTTTCAGGTAAACACTAATGAAATTAATGGAAAAAGCCTTGTCAAAGTTTCCACAAGGTTACTAATGTGGAATAAAATGCAAAAGTAAACAAACATTCAACAGCATCTCTCTAATGTTTAATTTCAGTTAATTGGTCCTGGGTTACCATGAAGTCAGAGGCTTTTTTGAACAAGTGTTTTTTTTTTTTTAAGGTTTTCTAATTTTACTTTTTAATAAATATTTGTTCCAAAAGACCAGTATAAATTTACCTGGGTTGTGCCTCATGGCTGGACCTTAAACCAAAAAGCTCCCGCGCATAACAACTAAGCTGCCGGCGCCACCGCTGGGAGGCCAGAGTGCCTCCAGTGCTGGCAGCTCAGGCAGTGCAGCGTGGCCCCCAACCTGCCTATCCCAGTCTCTGGCACTGCAAAAGCATGCTGCCAGAGGGCCCTAGAGGACTGCAGTGGTGCATGGATGGGGCTAGGTCAGGCAGTCCAGAAAGGCAATGCCTTCCTCTGCCTGTGATATCCACTGCCCATGAGTGTCACCGCAAAATGAAAATTGGAACAAACTGTTTAGCACCATTACAAGTCCCAGGATAGTGTAACTGCATGTGTGTTGGGGTATAGTTTCTGAAGACTGGTAAGGAAGCACTTGGTGGTAGGATGAGCAAAAACTGAAATGCCATCAATAAGGTCAAGAAAGACAATGATAGTGGAAAGACGCACCTTCGGGGGCTGAGGGCAAGTCCAGAGTCTTTCAAGTCTAGTAGGTAGTCGAGGATAGTAGATAAGGGTGGTGGTTCTAGGTTAGAGGTGTCATTGTTGACACCAAGCCTGGAATCATCACCACTTAATCTGGTATGCATATCTTATGGAAGGGCGGTGGCTGTTAAGCAAGACGTGCTTTACACTGTCAGAGTAACGAGTACAGTGTGCTGGAACCTCAAAGGAGCTACACTTTGAGTTGGCGAGCATGGGGATAGGTGGAGTTAGTGGCCCCGATGCTGCGTGAGAAGATCAGGAAATGTTGGTTAACGGGAGGGGTTGGCAGACTGCTAGATACTGGAGATAGAGGTACTAGAGTGGTCTAGGCCATGTCGGGACAATCAAGATTACCACTGCTCAGTCTCCTTGTATTTTGTGGATTACCTTGGAGATCAGGGAAATAAAGAGGGAATGCATAAAAAAAGAGTGGTGCATTCTATGTAAGGAAAAAGGCATCCCCAAACGATCCCTTCTCTAATCCAGTTCTGGAGCAGTATTGTGGGCAGTTGCAGACAGCTCTGGTTGCAAATAGGCTTATGTGAAAGTGTCCCCATATGGTGAATATTTGGTGGAGGATGGTGGGTTTGAGCTCCAACTCGTGTTGTTCAGAAAAGTAGCGGCGCAAGGTGTCTGCTATAATGTACTGATTGCCAGGTATGTATGCTGCCGTGGGAATGATGTGATTGGCAATGCACTAGTTCCACAGTCTGATCTCTTCCATGCAGGAATGTGATTGGGCACTCTCCTTGGCAGTTGATATAAAATATGCATGTAATGTTGTCCGTAAGGATGTGGACAGTTCTGTTCTTGACTATGGG